CTTTTTCCAGATGTACCTTTTGGAAAAGGCTTTTTAAAAACCAAATCATGTTTTTTCTCAGTAAAACACATTTTGTCTTCAATTATTTTCATATTGCATAATTTTCCTATTTTAATTTTTGTTTTGAAAGTATGGTAAAAACTGGTAAAATGTAACACCAAACACATAAAAAAAAAAAAAACCGGTAGCTCATCTGAATTAGGACATTTAGGCTATCCATCTAATAGTAGCCTACCAACATCTTATTAACAGTAGAAGTTAAATCTTACTGTAGTCTTCAAATCTGGGTACTGTTACGTTTTAAAATCACAAAGTGAGTTTGGTCCCATCAGGCTAATGTGACAGTCACGACTCATGCAGCTGTAAGGTTTTCTTTCTCTTTTGTTTTTACTCGCGATCTTTACAACACGCATTTACGTATTTCATGGCACACTCGTTTTACGCGTATTTGGCGCCACCTATTGTTGTGGGTGTATTATTGACATGTCAAAGTCTAGACCCTGAATATAAGACGACCGCGCTTTTTCAGATGTATTTCCAAGAAAAAAACATCGTCTTTTATTCGGGTCAATACGGTAGTTTATGTGAAGATTGTTTTAAAATCACTTAAATTAAAAGTCGTTATACATTTCAGAACCTATTAAATGTTAAAAAGAATGGCTTTCAATTATACTGTAATGTTGAATGGCTATAATTAATAGGGAAAATTGAGGGAAAATGCACCAGCAGGACAAATTAAAAACATTGTAAATATGTTTAGTTATTGTAGTAGTAATAATTGCCTGTTTTTGCAAAAATAGTTTCATGGCCGGCAAAAAAAAATTTTGGCTGGTAAATTTTATCATGTCACCAGCCATTGGCAGGTGTGGCATAAAGTTAGTTTTAGGCCCGGTGTACGTATAATGTAAGTAGGAGATTCATTCATCAAACAGTGTAACGACAGCTTTAATGAGTACTCAGTTTTTTGAGAGTGCTTAAACTCGCGCTAGACTGAAGTCAGTTGCTTTCTCTGTAGAATTTATTCACTGTTTGAATAACTTTGGAAGGTACAGGTAATAAAAAAAATTTAATTAAATTGGTGAATCTGTGAATTCATGAATTCCATACATCTCTGGATGGTGAAAAGGACATCTCCCATCGCTCCACTCTCCTTCATAGCGTCATCAAGCTTCACCTTTGTTATTGTTTTGAAAATGCGACCTCTAGCGGCGAAAACGTACATATTGTGTTTTTAAGTGTTGTTGTATGTTATGTAGTTGCTTGGGTGTTTTGTGTGGTTGCTAAGGTGTTACTATATGGTTGCTAACATACTCTTGAGTGTTTGTAGAGCGTTAAATGATTGCTATGATGTTTTTGGTGATTGCTATGGCATTACTTGCTAAGGTTGCTAAGGTACGCTGAGTGCTTTAGTGTCTTGTATGGTTGCTAGATGGTTACTAGGGTGTCCTGGGGGGTTTCTTGCTGGCCCAAGTCAAAATAGCCAACCTTCATTTATTTTCGCTACTTGTTTTTTACTTGAATAATCACTTGCAGATGCAAATATTTGAAGGCCACATTCCATTGTTTTAATATAGCTTGATTATTTACAATAAAAAGTCATGTTTTCAATAATGGAGAGTTAATTATATTATTTTTTTCCTGTGGTGTGCTTAAGGGAGGCTAATTGAAAATTGATCATTTGAATCACTGGAACTGATAGTCATCAACATGCCTCTTATCAGGACAGGCAATGTAAATGCCATCCACGTGTTCAAGCGTATTGTCGAACGGGATGCGGCGTGCGGACAGTGGTCGAGTGGAATTTGCCCTCAAGTGCTTTAATGCCACTTCCTGGTCAAATGCTCTTTGTGTTTGTGTGACTGTGGCTTGTGCAGTCCACATCAAAGCGGACAGGACAGATAAGGCAGGTACAGCGGAGACAGCCTGTGGTTTTATTCCTGGCCTTACATATCAGACCCTCTGGGAGCAGAAATGTATTATAATATAAGTACGTATAGAGTAAAAGTATCAGCTTATATCATTGTTTAAACTAGATGTCCATTACACATTTAAATTGATTTGAATGAAAATATGAAGTTTGGAGTTATAGTCTGTTCAGTGTGACTTTTTCAGTTTATTATTAATAATTATATTATATATTTTTAATTTAAATAATTTTTTTCTCAATTACGACATCTGATCTCATTAATGAAAACCGAAGCAGAAACTATTATTATATTTAAATCTTGTTTAATTAAAATACAGCAATTTACAGGTTTTAATATTTTAGTTTATATTTATTATTTTTAATGAACTGGAATTTGGGGGGGGGTCACTTTATGAATGAGCAGTAATTATAAAAAATTTTTTGATCAAGCCTGTGAATGATAGTAAATATGAAATTGGATCTCAATAATGTAAATACTGTAAATCATTTGTACAACTATTCTTACATTTATATATTTTAATTTATTATTTTTAATCTACTGAATTCTTTTTTTTTTTTCCGACTTTTTGAATGAGCAGTAATTACGAAATCGGATCTCGGATCGGATCTCTACTCCTAGGTCTGTAAGCACAGTGGTGACATTAGCTATCATTTTGAATAGCACAGAGTAATTGAACTTTGGATTTGTCAGCTGTATCTTGTCACTCCAGTAAATAAAGGCCTTTGGTTGTCAGGTTTGCTTAACCCAGTTCACCACAGCACACATCCACAAACACAGCCAGATCTAGTGAAGTTTGACTTCAAACTTCAATTTCATTCAATAAGGACATATATTGTTGGATGGTTTATAAAATGGCTTGCAACCAGCTTTCTTCTACAAGAAAGAAGACGCTGGCAGACGTTTTTATGTCTGTCACAATCTAGCCACATCTGCATGTTTTTGTTCACACACACATGCTGTAATGAAGCATTCTGTGCTGATCATCTGAACTTGTGTGTTTTCCTGATCTTCTAAACGTAGCTGTTCTTCTGAGCTGATTTTTCTCTGAGCTGCCTTTTTGTTTTTTGTTTTGTTTTTTTGCTCATCTTTGCCAGTGTTAATTTCTCTCTTGCCTTTCTATCAGACAGAAAACTGGCATCTCATTTTCCTAAGCTGCTACTCTCAGGACTAGCGGTCGACCGATATTGTTTTTTTTTATTGCCGATATCTTTGAAAGCAGGGTGGCCGATATAAAGCCGATATAATTTTATTAATATTTAAATTTTAAATCATTTGAAAATGGATTGAAAAGTAAATGTGTTAAATAAACATACTTATACTTTAGATGACAAAGTATGTTTCACAAATAAATATTTAATTAAAATATAATAAAAAAGGAAGTAAACACTGTAATCAACAGGGCACTCAGTATTCTGGGAATTTTGTGTGCATTGGGATTTGGGAATCATATTTTTTCAAATAAAGCCAAGGTAACACTCATTTTACATACAGCACACAGTGGAAAAGACATGAATATGGCAGTGGGCAAATTCATAAAGCGCAGCATAATTTGAAATCACGAGTTTAAAGTTTGTCGATCACGCATCTCCAGTGAAGCTGAACTCTCCTCCTGTCCGCATTCCATTCACACGGACCGACCGTCACACAGAGAACACGCGATCATGCAGGATACAAATGCACACTTCACAAGATCCGACTAAGTTTGCAAGCTTTGTGAAATTAAATATTCATTAGTCATTCAAAGATTTGTTTAAATTATATAAATGCGTATTTGCTGAATGCTGACGGCAAACAAGAAAGTATTGTAATGTTTGCCTTTCTATTACTAATAATATAAAAGCAGTCGTTTTAATACATTTTGTATACATTTTAATTCCTTTGTTTAACCGTTTTATCTAATTATTAGACAGACTTCTATCCGTATTAGACAGAACTGTTAATGACAACGGCGAATAAGAGGGAGAATGTGAGCAGTCGCTGTCAGCGCCGTCAAAATAAAAGTCCCACCTCGAATGCATCGGCCAAACAGTAAAACTTATCGGCCGATGCCGATATTTTAAAAATGCCGATATATCGGCCTTGGCGATATATCGGTCAACCACTACTCGGGACCAGTGCTTTGCAAAAGATCTTTCCTCTTTCTATTCATCCACACCTCCGTGTAAATCAGTGAGAATCAACTTCAGCTGATGACTGCCTGATTTCTTTCCACCTCTTCTGTTTGCAGTTTTCTTTATACCGCGTCTTCATTATTGGGCATTTTTTCAGCATGACAATGAAGATATTCATTCTCCCAAGGTGAAAATCCTTCAGTGGACATGTATTTTACTCAATCTTAACACTCTTGAGCTGCTGTGAGAGATTCTGTAATTCTGTTGTTTTTATTAAGTATATGTTTACTATGTTTCAATTTTGCCATCTTTCCATGAATTATATTAATTATATTAGTGATCATTAAGAAAATACATATTTTATATTTATTCAGAGGGGGTGTACTCATTTATGCTGTGCACTGTATGTATCTTATCTATCTGTCTGTCAGGCTGTGTCTGTCTGTCTGTCTGTCTGTTTCTCTTTTTACGATGTACATATCCTGCTTTTTCACAATTTTTTATCCTCATTTTAAGTGCCCTATATACAAAGCTTCTCATGAAAGTAAGGCATGCACACTACTGTTCAAAATCTTTTTAAAAAATTAAAAAGTAAAAAAAATTTAATATTTAAATATAATTTTTTATTATGATTCTTTCTATATATGTTTTAATGTAGACTAAAGTTCAAAATGTTGAGGTCAGTACAATTTATTTTTTCTTTTATTCAGCAAGGATGCATTAAATTGTTAAAAAGTGACAGTAAATACATTTACAATGTGACAAATGTTTTCTGTTTCAAGTAAATGCAGCACAACGGTTTTCAACACTTCTAATAAGAAATGTCTTGAGCAGTAAATCAACACAGACTGATTTCTGATGGATCATGTGACACTGGAGTAATGATGCTGAAAAAAAAAAAAAATGTATTACACTTTTTGGAAAAAAGTTTAATTTAATTTTAATTATAAATAATAAATTACATCTTAAAGTATATTAAGATAGAAAATGAGTTTTTTTCAAATGTATTAATATTTTAGGATATTACTGTTTTACTGTATTTTTGATCAAATCAATGCAGCCTTGGTGAACAAAAACTTAATCTTACTGACCCCAGACTTCTGTACAGTAATGCAGATACAAATCTGAACGTCATCATGCGTCTCGTGTGAATCACCTCTGTTCTTGTCTCTTTCAGTTCTCAGATAGACATCAGGGCAATCACACATTTCTTCCCATCTATCTTGTCCATCTCATCTGTGTTTGCATGCATGTATTAATACTGTACGCTCTGATCTCCATTCACTTGTGTAACCTGCCTGCCCAGTCTGCAACATTTTATTTATGGATCATGGCACAGGAGGGAGTGCATTATGTCACTCTTTAGTATTAAATAAAGCTTGAAGTTGTCATGCAGGTTACAAAGTGTTGTGTTTGTTCATATTATAGTCTTTTTTTTGTTGTTGTTGAAGGTTTGGCAATGATGTACAGCACTTCAAAGTGCTGCGTGATGGGGCTGGAAAGTACTTCCTGTGGGTCGTGAAGTTTAACTCTCTCAACGAGCTGGTGGACTATCACCGCACCACTTCCGTTTCCCGAAACCAACAGATCTTTCTACGAGACATCGAGCAGGTGCCTCAGGTCTGTATGCTTGTTTTTACCTTTTTAATCCATAAAGTTTATGTGGATCACCATTAGCAACCCTTGTACTTCTGTAATGTGACACATTTCTTAGTGAAACAGGATATTTAGCCTAAGGGACATCCACAGAAAAGGAAAGTAGATTCACGGGAAGAGCAAGATACTACATTTTGATTAAAGATTTGTTTTTTCCTTTGGAATAAGCGGCACTAGAATAGTTGTTTGCAATAACTGGGGGGGGAGAATGAAGATTTTATTTATACATTTTTAAGTCAATAAATCAGTAAATTAATTTATAATAGCAAGTTAAATTTTTATTATTTAAAAAAAACTGAAACCTGGTAAAATGCCAAACAGGAGCTTCTGTCAACATTTTGAAGTGATCAGATGAATAAACTGTTCAGTCATTGTTAATTCGTTTAGAATAATCCAGAACTGATTCGTGAAAATTCATCCAACATCCTACTCAAAATGTACTCGCTCTCTTAAAGTGGGCCTTAAAATCGCCTTTATTCATGGTGTTTGTTAAAATATCAGATGTACTGTAAATATCCCATAAGTTCACTTATATAACCATTCAAATGTTTGGAGTCAGTTAGATTTTTTTAAAGAAAATTAATATTTACATTCAGCAAGGATGCATTAAATTGATCAAAAGTGACAGTAAAGACATTTATTTTGTTAAAAAAAAAAATCCCTAATAAATGCTGTTTCTATTCATCAAAGAATCCTTAAAAAAAATGTATCATGGTGCACAGCTGTTTTCAACATTAATAATAATACATTTTTCCTGAGCATCAAATCAGCATATGAGAATGATTTCTGAGTAATGATGCTGAAAATTCAACTTTGCATCACAGGAATAAATTACATGTTAAGATATTGTTTTTAGGGATGCACCGAAATTAAAATTCTTGGCCGAAACCGAACAAAATGAAACACTGGGCCGAACACGGTTTTTCTAGTTTTTTTCCTCCATGTATTTTGCCAATTTTTTTCACCATTGCATAAATTAAATAGCCAAAATGTGCTTTTTACTATTTTGTATTGCTTTTCAAAGAAAAAATTTATTACAAAACAATAATTTAAAAATATTTAACACTGAACATTTTTTAACATTCTAGCAGAAATTATATCAACAAAGCACAATTTAACTTAAAATTAATAAGTTTATAAATAATATTTTTTGGCCATCATACCCACTTCTTAAATCAGGCATGCATTTTTTTTTTTAAATGAAAGCAGCATTGCTGAGCAGAAGAGACTTCTTTTAAAACATTAGAAAATATTACAGATCCCAATGTGAACACTGTGTGAATGTTATAATAAATGTATTAATAGAGCTGTTGTAATTATTATTATCATTATTATTGTCTTTTTATATTATTTTACAGAACAACAGTAAAATTACAATACTAACGTTTACGAATGTTTATGGGGTTCTTGCTTTTTCTCAACTTTTATTTTGGTGGAAACGTGCAGGAAGACCTCAATGCTACTTTTTGTTGATAACAGCAGATTTATAAATGAGTCTCATTACGAATGTTGCACGTATTGCATTGTCACATGCCTTGTAAAAAATCATAAAAATGTGACTGAGCAACTGACGAGTAACACTGTTTCAGTGCAGATTTCCCTCGTGCTTTGAACTTTGAACCCTGGTTAACAAACAGACAGTTCGTGCAGCGCTGTCAGAATTAGAGCCCGACCGATATATAGTTTTGCCGATATTATTGGCCGATATGAGCTTGTTGCAGATATATCGTATCGGCAAATATGCCACCGATATGACAATTTTTTTATACAGAACATATAACGCAGATAAAATGCTTGAAATTGTGTAATTACTTAGTATGTCCAGCCGAGCACGCTCCATTTTTTGCTACTGGTGACCTGGATGAAACGCTTTTGAAGCTTAAACCATTGAAATATCTCCGTAATGGCGGAGCGAAGTGGACTTCATATGAAATTCCGCCATGATTCCAGTTCCAAGGGAACGTACACGTTACATTCAAAGGCGGATCCGCACCAAATTCGGGGGATCCCTTCAGTTCGAGGAACCCTTTCGAACGCGAATCGAGTGTACGTATTGAGGCCTGCTTTCGAATGAGACCACTCCCAAGTCGATAGCCCCTGGGGTTCAGGAGTTTACGGGTGGTTAAATTCACGGTCCAACCGATCAAGCGATCCCGGGGGCTACCGACGCGTGGAGGGTGGCGTTCAAGAGGGCTCCTCGAGCTGAAGGTATCCCCCGAATTTGGTGGAGATCCGCCGGCGCGTTTGCGAGATAGTGACGCCAGTCAACATTTTCCCTTCATTAAGGACTTGTTCAGGCAGCAGCATTCAAGCGTGGTCTTATTCGACCGTAAGTGCCCTGCGAAGTGGACTTCACATGAAATTCCGCCATGATTCCAGTTCCAAGGGAACGTACACGTTACATTCAAAGGGCATTAAAGTGTGCGAGACGTGAATTTATATTGTATTTATTTACAGAGGTGTATTATGTCACACTTCACACTTCTCTAGTAAGTTTCGTCTGTGTGTGAAGACAGTAGAGCAAATCCGTGAATGAATGTTTCGAAGTGAAATAAACTTTAATGGAATAAAGTTGAATGGAATTGAATTGAATTAAAGTTGAATAAACTTCAACTTTACTGTTCAGTGCACTGATGTCAGACTCATTTTGGATTATAAAGTTTGTTAAATTATTAAATGCCCTGCCTCCATTACGTATCTCTGTCACATCATTATAAGTGTTTGATCACCACATTTGAGTGATCATTGTAAAAAATGTGTTTATGTATATATATTCTGTTTATGTATATACTGTATTCTATATATAGTACCAGTCAAATGTTTGGACACACGAATGGGAAAGTGTCCAAACTTTTGACTGGTACTGTACTATAATATACACAAAGAATGTATCGATATCAGCCTTTTTTTACTCCCTAATATCGGTATCGGCCCCAAAAAACCCATATCGGTCGGGCTCTAGTCAGAATACATGCAATGCATGCGTGTATTAGAAAACATAACGTTCTGCAGTTTATTTAATAACTGTTTAAGGCCATTTCGCGATTTCAATCATCATACAGTAACCAGCAACAATCACCCTGCCTCTTTCTCAGACAGTTTTAAATGCTTCCACACTGCTGACATGTGTGCTGCGTTATAAAGAGTGCGTGCCTCTCACTCTGCGCTGGTTGCTATTTAATCGCGTCACGTCATTGTACGGTACAATTTATTCGGTCTTTCCGCTTATTCGGCCAAACACCAAAAGAGCTTTTTTTTTTTTGCTATTTTCGGCCGAATAATTTCGGTTGCCGAACATTCGGTGCATCCCTAATTGTTTTAAATTGTAATAATATTTCACAATATTACTGTTTTTACTGTATTTTTAATCAAATAAATGTAGCCTTGATGAAAATAAGAGATTTCTTAAAAAAAAAAAGATAATTGGGTTATTTACACGTGTCTGTTGTGTACCTGCAGCATCCAACATACGTGCAGGCCCTGTTCGACTTCGACCCTCAGGAGGACGGAGAGCTTGGCTTCAGACGCGGAGACTTCATTCAGGTCCTGGACAACTCTGACCCCAACTGGTGGAAGGGCGCCTGTCACAGCCAGACGGGCATGTTCCCACGCAACTATGTCACGCCTGTCAATCGGAACATGTAAAGAAAAACCAAGCGATTAGTGAATAAATTGTAATTAGCGGCCCCTCACATTCACATACAATCAGACTACCCTACATCTCCCCGTCAACACCCTTAAACTCCTGTGAGAATTAAAGCGGCACAGAGGAATGGAAACCGTGACCGAAAACAAGGAGAGAAAAAAAACCGTAGCGGAGAGGCTGGAGGTTTCCACCTCTGCCGTGGTGCCCGGGCGAAACTATTATTCCTGAGAATCGCGATGTCTTCATGAACGCTTGCAGTCCAGACTGAGCTGTTAGGGCGAAGGAAAGGCTGAATCCTAGCATAGTAAACCACACATAAATTAAAACAACAATGATTCTGTCTGTAGATTCATCCTGCTGCTTCTGGCTTCTTTTCTAGCAATTAGAATTCTTTTTGTTACATTTTTGTTTTGTTTTGTTCTTGTTGTTTTGGCTGCATGTTTAAATCTCTTTATAATAGTACATCCTGACGCTGTTTTTAAAAAGGAAAAAAATATATATAAAAATGTAAGCGTAAGAAATTGCAAACGCATTGTACATCTGGGCTGTGGAAAAAAAAAAACACCTATAGAGAGAATCCATTTTTTTAAGAATATATATATTATATATTTGTATGTGTCTGTCTGTTTTACCTTTCGACACTTTTTTTTGTTCCAATTGTAAATTATGTTTTTGGTGAGGGTGGATGAAACGGAGTAGCTCTGAGACATGCTAATTTTATGAGCATCTCAGATATAACGCCGTAGTGTTTAACGCATCACGTGTTCCTTTTGTCATCATTCTTCCTTTGTTTTAGAACCAATAGGTGAGTGGATCCTTGGCGATAGCAATTTATCACCGGGGAGCTTCCAATCATGCAGGACTTGATCTAATGTGAAAAGCCAGATGGCTAGCCACCATTTTAAGCCAATGTATTTATTACAGCCACTTTTTATTTGTCTTTGGATGTGAATGTAGCCAACATCACTCAGATGGAGAGCTGAACCACAGTTTCATGATTTCAAAGACGCGCATCTGTTCACGATGTCCATGTGGAAAAGCTGTTCACGAAACGATTTAAAATCACGAGATTTGGTGTTGAAAAACTGGTGGATGCCAGTTAAGCCAGTAAGAAGTAAGAAACCAGAGTTTTCGTATATTTGAGTTGTCACATCGACTAATTTGATGCGTTCCGTTTGTTTTCTCTTAGCGCTTTTGTCTTTTCAGTGTTGTATGTTTTAGCTCTTATGAATTTAGTTTGCTCCTCGTGTATTATTGACCCGCTCGTCGTTCTCTCTGGATTAGTGCCTTTTTCTCTGGTGTGTGACAGTGTCTCGGGCTTTCTGCTTTAGCCTGAGCATTGGGCTTCGTCAGACCCGCAGTGAGAAATCATGTCTTCTCTCTCCTCCTGAACACACCTGCACACAGTCACTCCTATTTAAAAGTCTCGCCTTTTTCTTAACCTTTTGTTATTTTATTTTTATTTTTTTTTGCCTTTTTCCTTGTTTCTTTTGAATAAATAAAAAGAAAATTATAAAAAGAAAACACGTCTGTGTCAGATAATTCATACTGTGTGAATGTGGTTTTTCTAGCTTCATATCCCATACTGCAGATTCCTTTTATGGTCACTTTTTTTTTGCCAATGCAGGTTTTGGAGTGAAACACTTACTGTTGCTCTAAACGTGTTTGCACACTTAAGTCACACTTAAAATTTGTCTGAATGTGTACTGGATGCAAAACACCAAAGCAAGTGTCATTTTTACACAGAAAAGGGTGAAATTTTTTTTTTTCAGTAAAATCATATTGACACTAATATTGTTTACATCTTATGTTTTCAAACAGTGAGTTTTTGTTTGTTTATGGATTGGCCTTATTCATTTAAAGGAATAATTGCCCCAAAAAAAAAATTTTGCTGAAAATGTACTCACTCTCAGGCCATCCAGGATGATGAATTTGTTTCTTCATCAGAACAGATTTGGAGAAATGTAGCATTACATCACTTGCTCACCAATGGATCCTCTGCAGTGAATGGGTGCCGTCAGAATGAAAGTTAAAAAAGCTGATAAAAACACAGTAATCCACACCACTCCAGTCCATCAATTAATGTCTTGTGAAGCGAAAATCTGAAACAAAGCCATCAAGGCATTTTTTTTTTCACACTGTTGCTTCTGGGCTGGCTAAAATATGAACAAACAAATATGTAGTAGATTTTGAGGTGAGAGGACAACAGGGGATGACTTTTACACTGGAGGAAGTGTTTCAAACTCTTATTTTGACCAGAAGCGATGGTTTAAAGTTAAAATGCTATAATAATGGATTTCTTTCTTACAAACACACAGCTTCTACTTTCACAATATATTAATTGATGGACTGGAGTGGTGTGGATTATTGTGATGTTTTTATCAGCTGTTTGGACTCTCATTCTGACGGCACCCATTCACTGCAGAGGATCCATTGGTGAGCAAGTGATGTAATGCTGCATTTCTCCAAATCTGTTCCCATGAAGAAACGAACTCATCTACATCTTGGACGGCCTGAGGGTGAGTAAATGTTCAGCAAATGTTAATTTTTGGGTGAACTATCCCTTTAAATTTGCAAGTGTGTCACTGTAATACAGAGGGACAGGTGGGAAATATTTTTGTGTAAGTCAACATTATGCCACCAGTGCCGCCAATTATATTGAATCTAGAATAATATTAAAGGGGTCATAGGATGCTACATGCACTTTTACAAGTTGTTTGAACTGAAAATGGTTTGAGAGACAGACTTGTAACCCAAAGGTTGCGGGTTCGAGTCTCGTACCGGCAGGGATTGTAGGTGGGGGGAGGGAATGTACAGCGCTCTCTCCCAGCTTCAATACCACGACTGAGGTGCCCTTGAGCAAACCCAACCCCCAACTGCAGCATAAATGGCTGCCCACTGCTCCGGGTGTGTGTTCACGGTGTGTGTGTGCACTTTGGATGGATTAAATGCAGAGCACTAATTCCTAGTATGGGTCACCATACTTGGCCACATATCACTTAAATAAGGCCATTATTGTGCTTCGGGACAAAAATGACAACCTATTGCATTGACATTGTACTTAAAGTCTTTAAAATGGACCGGCACATAAGACAACTTTAAAGGAAATAATAATAATAATAATAATAATGTATTATTTTCTTTCATATCTAAATCCTTATTACGTGAAGTAGTTAAGGCTTTAAAACTGTTAAAGCAGATGCACGTATTTAGATGCCTCAAGTTTAAAGCAACTGTAGATACATTTTTTTACCTCAAAATAGGTTTCAAAATCGTTCTGATGGTACACTAACTCATAATAAGGCGAGTTGCTTCTGTTTCTTTTCGTAACGGCGGCGGCGGCTTGCTTTACGGCAGCGATAGATACACGCATACAGCTATCCACTGTGAAAAATATACAAAAAATATACAAAACTACCTGCAGTTGTACAAGCACTGACATTTTCCAGTGCACAGTGAACCGATCAGACAGTCCCCATCATGTTCAGAAGCACTTGAACTTCTGAAGACCTGTTCACCGAAGCACTTCTGCAGCTCTTGGCCATAATGAAAGGTCATTGTGGCTGTATAATTGCATGCTTTCTTCGCAAACCCCCCCACTTCCTGCTGAGGGTGAAATACAGGGCATCTATATGGTGCTGTCACAGCCCTTCTGGCTATCCTTTTGGTTGGTTATAGGAAGTTATCTGCACTGCTATTAGATTTGTAAGACAGTCATTCAACCGTGATGTCAATGAGCTTCACTACAGCTGTAGGGGATGTGTACGTTGAGCTTAGCTTGTATGGCAACTATATTGCTTCTCAGAATATACGTTAGTACGGCAAATTGGGGAAGATTTGTGGTGTTCTTGAGCTGAACTCTTCTGAGAATAGTGATTAAGGCACAAAAGTGAACTGCCATTCATGTCCTGCTTTGTTGGCCATGATATGTCCGAAAGTGACCAAATGTGCTGAAGATCCACCGTGACAAATTAAAGCTCTAAAATCAATTTTCGGAGTATTTGAGAGACATGGCGACAGTCAAAGCATTTAAAATCACACATGCGGAGGACGACAGGAAGTTTCAGGCTAAATGTTGACATTCAGTCGCAATAAATCTGTGTTACAGAGTCTAAAAACGGGTCAACATGACCCACAGAAGCACAGAAAAGCCAAACTAATTTAAAGTTC